ATTATTTTATTGGCCTAGTTTCATGAAGCTCACTTCTGTGAGCTGTAAATTTGTTTAGAGAGTGGATTACAAATCAGCCCTTTCAGGATTTCTTTTGTGGATAACATAAACAGTTTATGAACTGAAAAATCAGTAGGCACGTACTCCCTTGCCCTGCTGTGAAGTTCTGCACTTTTAGAACTAAGGTAAAAGAACGATCAAGTATTCTAAAATGATAAAAATTCAGTGATTGTGAATGCTCAGTAAGTACCAATCAGAGGTTGTGTTAAGGTTCTTCCCCACCATCCTTCCGCTGCTGCAGATGTAATGGTTCAGCTGGTTTTGAGTGATGAGGCAAATTAAAAAAAACAAAACAAAAAACCCCACACACATCCTTTTCCAAATCCTTTCAGTGTGGGCTTATCAGTTTCCGAGTCTTATCATTTGTCTCCAAGAGTGACAGATGAAAGCCACGAATGTTCAATGGGAATTTTCTGCCTTTTTTTTTTTTTTTTTTTGCATTCAGAGATAATTTATGTAAGTAGAAGATCTAATGAGGATACTAAATTAAGTGTGTCTGTGTATATAAATAAAATCGGTTTGTTACCCATTTGCCAGCATTTTGGCTCAGCTGCAGCAGTCAGTATCATAACCGCTTTAAAATTGATTAGACAATTTAACTTGAAATTTAACTCTGGATATGGCAAAGAGAGATAAGCCTGTGAATAGGAGCATAAAACATTAATCTTGCAGTTCTCCAGCTGATCTCAGTAAAGCTGGCGTGTTGTATTTATTCTTTGGCTTTGAAGAAATTTAAAGTCGTCTGGTTCCAGTGTGACCTATGCACACACGAGTGGTCTTTATGGGCGTCAGGGATCCCTGGGCCCTCCTGCTTGTTCTAAAAGTGAACTGGTGTTTTGGTTAAAGCAGAGGTGTTTCTGCAGCACACAGGGCTGACATACCTGGGTTTTTTGACAGGGGAGGCCAGGTTTGTTTGACTACTAACGCTTCTATAAGTTTCTGCCCGACAGACACCTGCAGGCAGTGTTTCTGTCCAGTCCCGCAGTGGCTTCCAGTGTTGAAGCAACGTGAATGTGCAAAATGAAGTAGCCATTTTAATTGGAAGCTGATCTATATTAATTTGATATGAAGCTGTTCAGAGCCACATTTCCTATGCTACTTCCATTTTCAAGTTTTGTCTGTATTGTGATGCTTCATCAAAGAAAGATGAATTTAGCCTCAGTGAAGTGGCAAAGTGACAAACGTGAAAGCAGCCAGTTCTAGGCCTTCTCCACCTATTTTTTCCGTAACAGTAGTAACTTCCTTTCAGCTGGAATTTTGGAGTGCTTTAGGGCAACTGTATGCTGGTTTTGAGTAAGTTCAGCTGCTATTTCTGCTTTTTAGTAGACATCCTATTTCCTGATGTTGATCTATTCTTTAAATTGATCCTGGTATAAAGAAGAAGTGGTTTGAAGTGGATGCGCTTTGCAGTATGAATACCAATTCAAAATACTCACCAACGCACAAGTGGAGAACAGGCAAGGTACACGTGTTACCCTTCCAGTCAGTTATATCTGTCAGGTTTTGATCTCCAAGACACCTCACTTGGCACACAAGTGAAGTCTCCAGCTTTAACTAGCGGGTGGGCCGCTAAGCAGTCTTTTGTAGCAGCAGCATTTTTAAGTGGTTTAGTTGGCAATATTATCAGACCCTAGTTGAACCCTCACTTTAAAAGCAGATAGTAGTATTTTCTTAAACACCTGACTTCTAAGTTTAGCTCAAAGTTACCCTTCTGCTCTTGAACATTCTGCCCATTCTTTCTATTTTGTCTTATGAGTACATAACTATATATTTTAGCATAGTTGTAACGCTTTTATAATATTGGCAAGCTCTAATGGAAATATTACTCATTATGTAGTTGTTATAAGTGATGTATGTACATGACCAGACTGGATAGGATATTCTGACTCTCCTTCTGTGCCATCCTGTCATCTTTCTAGTTAATTATGGTGCAGTGATGTCAAGCGCTGTATCTCACATTTTTGTGCCATATCCCAGTGCATCTCAGGACAGAATGCTGTTCCTAACATTGAAAAGCACTAGATTTTGCAGGACCCAGAGTGTGACTTAGAGCTTACACTGCACAAGAGAATGCTTCTTCAGAGTTTCTTGGTGGTCTGACTGCTAGGGTGTTTGCTGTGTGGGCAAAGCTGGCGTAACACCTGCATGTTGGGTTCCTAGGATCAGTCAAATCTAAGAGAGCGCAAGCATGCTTTTCATGCTCTGCCCTTTTTTCCCTTGTTCCCATGCAGTTGTACACCGATTGCTGTTCAAAATTCACCATTTACTGATACTCACTGAATCATCACCCTCTGTATTAATACTATATATCGTTATCAGGTTCCTAATACTGCCTGTCAACTTAATGGATTTTGACATTCAAGGCTACGCAGATATGTATCAAAATATAAGTAGGCATTACAAACATCACAGATACTTCATATTCTAAAGAGAAGGGAAACTGGGGTATTCCTTGATGGTGATGATTGGGAGGTATATTACTTTCTTATTTCATATTCTGTTCATGTTCTGTTTGTATTTCAAAATCTGTAAAATGATTTTTTTCCACTTTCAAAGAGCTTTAAAGATTTCAGAAAAGTGTTTATTTCGGATTTTGTTCCATCACAAAAGAAGGATAGCTTAACACTTAGTAATGCAAGTGGTTTCTTTTTCTGACATATTAAAAATGTTGCTGAAAATTACCCAGAGATTTTCTGCTAGACATTTACTTAAACTATTTATTCACCTCTTAAGCTAAGAAAGTAAAAGGATCAGGAGCACAGACATCTGAAGATGTATGCCAGGCGTTATTTCCAAGAATTGTACAGAAAACAGTACCCATTTACAGAAGCACTTTTGCTCTTTAACTGCCATCGGTGTACTCCAGAATCTTTTTTCATCTCCCTTACTTTTCATCAGTGGTCATTCCTGCGTTGCACATGTCTTCAGAAGCTTCAGCTACTTCAGCTGTTTGTAACATTGCTAGGGCCCATCGTTACGGAGAACAGAAGCTCACTTCTGAAGCAAAGAAGTTGCATGTTAACGTATTGTGGATATATGTGGCTTGGATTTCCTGACTGCATGTCTGTTCAGGTCTTCATTCAGTTATTCAGTGTGCTGGGATCCAAGTCCATCCAGCTCTTCAGGAGGTCTTGGGAACCTCAGCAGCATCAGTCCATCTTCTGCTTAAACACAGAGCCTCACTCCTGGAAGAGCCATCATATGTAGCCTGTTCAGCGTACCTGCTAGAGCTTTCAGTTATCTTTCAAATACCAAATGCTTACAAAAGAAAGCAATGCCATTTTCTCCCTGCTGGCTTTCTGAAATCTCATGTTGGGAAAAGCACTTACTGTGTATTTCATATGAACAGAAAGCTTTCAGTAATGACTGGTATTTCTGAGGCTATTGCAGCCAGCGCAGCTGTTGCAAATGTCATTGTGGATGGCACAAATAGGGTAGGATTTTGAGCAGGACCATGAACCATCTGACTTTGATGTTAGTTGAAAAGGAAAAAAAGACTCCAAAGTTTGAAGAACAGACAACCTGTTGGATGTAAATGCATAAAATGGAACAAAAATAGAAAAGTGTTATTATTAGTTCTTGAAATCGTCAGTAAAATTACTTTATTCAGAATACTAGCTGGAAATGTATGGATTTTGCAGACTCTCTGATTGTATTTCACATATCCATGAGGAGAATTTTGAACAATCAGACCAACCTTAATACTCCTGCATTGAGGTGTCAGTATAATTCTTTGACAGTGTATGTTGAAAGGTTCAAATGTCCCTGATGTTTTCCAAGTCAAATTTTTGTTATTATTACTGACTAGACTCATCATCTGTGTCCAGTTTTTTATCACTTATGATGGAAGTATAAATACTACCTTTTTCTATAATTAGATGTGATTAAAAATAATTCTGACAACGTGTTGCTTCACATCTCTGCATGAGCTTCCCATCTTCCTCATCTGGACAGATTTTGGGAGCTCTCCTCTCTTTATGGCACAGACATTACCCATGTTTTTCTCCTTTGTTTCTTTCTATTCTTATCTATGTTTGATTATTATTTTTATGCTCTGTTTCTTTGCTCCTTCTCTTACATCATCTTCTTTTTTTTTTTCCTTTTGCACATTCATATTTCTCATCTTTCTGCTTTTTTTTTGATTGTTCACTTTTGACCCGTGTCTTACATAATGCAAGATCACCTAATGTTTCTGAGTTTTAATGTTCATGGAATGCTCTACTACAAGGTTGCCTTGGGGACTAAGGGAAGACCTAATTTTAGAACCTGTGATGGTTTTGGGGGTCAATGATCATTTGTTCATCTACTATATGCACTTAGAGAAATTAGAAGAAACTTCCCAAGAAAACTGCAGGGTCTCAACTGGGCAAATAGAATAGGGAGAATAAAGAGTAGAAAATGAAATTGGTGTGTATGTCCCTTTTACGGTGGCTCAACAAAGTGATCACTGTTAATTGTTTCATTGCAAAGGAGACACATTTTATATGTGTAGATACATACAGCATCTATAAACCTTGAAGAGATTGGTTTTGCTCTGCGCTTGAAAAATAGGTTTAGGATGAATGTGATTTCTATTTGTGTTTATTTCACTGGCAGGTATGGATAGGGCCGTTATCTTAACTGGGGATGTTGCTGGTACCTTAACTAAACGTTGTAGCACCAGGTAGCTTCAGATGTTTCTAACTCTCTAACTGCCTCTGCACGCAGCTATGACACTAGCCAGTCTATGCAGCACGTGCTTATTCACCTGAGGAATTCCATCCCTTTCCAACATTTCCCATCGCTGACTTGCATAATTGTACCTCGTAGTTGCCTCTGAGTACCACCTAAGAGACTTTGTGAAAGGCTGGTCAGAGATGTGTTTGTATTGGAGCACAGAAGACAGATATCTAAGAGGTCTTTAACTGAACAAATCATGCTTGTTTTTTTATGCAGGGAATAAATCACAAGATAGTGGGATTGCAGAGATGGAGGAACTTCCAGTCCCACACAACATCAAAATAAGTAACATCACATGTGATTCCTTCAAGATTTCTTGGGACATGGATTCTAAATCCAAGGACCGCATTACTCATTACTTCATCGATCTCAACAAGAAAGAAAATAAGAATTCCAACAAATTTAAACACAAGGTAATTTTCATTTTAAAATTAAGGTGGAAATACTTGATTTTAAATAAATGAATCTCAGTGTTTTATTAACCGTTCAAAGCCAGACCATGGGAAACAGGTATTGGACAGCCAGCAAAGGTAGGTTTTGATTAATCTGATTAACTTTTTTTTTTTTTTTTTTTTTTACTCTGAATACCTTCTCTGTCTCTAGCCTATGTGCGTGTACACACGAATGCATTTGTTTCATAGAGAACTGAACCTTACCTTTTGTATTTCATTTGAAAACAGTTTTGGAACCCGGACAATGTATTGCAAGACAGACATTTTTATTCCTGATAAGTTCTTAATCATTATTTAAACAATTTATGTATTCTGTGCCTGTCCTTGTTCAGTGACAGGCTCATGAAAGCAACACATGTCATTTCAACAGAAGAGTCACAAATTCTAATGCATTTCTAGGAAGGCTTCCAGCAATTTTAGTTTGCAGCATTCAGCACTGTGACCTGAATATTCATCTGGCCTCTTTCCTCAAGCCACTGATGCAGGGACAGACTGAATGCACTGCAGAATCGCTACTTATCAAATCCGGCAAAATTTGCTTTGACCTCAGAGTAGTTGAAATACTCAGATAGTCTAGAGAAACATGGAATGAGAAGATTAAACCACACAATCATCTGCAAATTTAAAGGCAATGTTGGCAATATCCCTAAAAGATAAGGTTTGCCAAGGCACAAATAACCATCCAGATAAATATGAGAGTCCTGATTCCATCAACACCTAAATTACCATTGGTTTATAAGCCAGTGGGATAACCAGGGAATATTTCCACCAATTTCTCTGAGTCTTTTTATTGTGAGAGTATTTTTTCTGTGACTTCTGTTAATAGCAGGTGTATAATTTTCACGTTTCCTTATTTGACTTTTTTTTTCATGTGGTTGGAAGTAACATATGCATTAAGTGTAATGCAAAATCACCTCCTGCTCCTTGAAATTGAGAATTTTACGCGTTTGGCCAAGATGTTGCTGTTGCTAGGAACCAGTGTGCAAAGCACTACCGAATTGAATGGGCATTTATTGTGACCCATTTTTGATTGTAATAGCAAATAAAGTCAGGTATGTTTGGTTTTCTTCTTACTGTTGTTACTTTTGGACTGGCAGCCTTTGAATTTGAATTCCCATTTTATACTGCAGGAATAAATATACCTTCTAATATAAATGCTTACTGGGGTGGTTTCTTTTTAATTTCTTTCATTTTATTAATCTACATGTTTATTTCATTTATGTGCAAACTGGTGTAAAGTTGTAAAATTTGTTTTTGTAAAAGGGAGAGCCACCCTAGCAGGTCAAACACTATATACACTTCAAAATCTGTATCACAGTTACGAGACTGGTGTTAAAATGGAGAGGGGGGAAAAAAAAGGTATTGGTAGCTTAATAAAGATAAGCTGTTAGATTTATTTTGTTTTTCTCAGCAATTCCCTAGCTTTTTACTGTGATGAAGTGTTTAGTCAAAGGAGAGAGGTAATTGGTTTTGTAAGAACAGGAGACTAAAGTCTATCAATTAAAGTGATGAATAAGTTGGATGTCTTTTCAGAACTAACTTAGAATTCCTTGGTACTAATTGTGTTAGTGACTTGGTAAAGCTTTTTTTGGTTTGGTTCCCCTCACCCCCCGGCCAGAACGATGCAAACGCAGACAGGGTGGGCAAGAGAACTGCACAGACTGACTACGCCAACAGCTGTCCGTGCCAGAGCACGTATGGGTTTGCTTTCATGCGTCTTTTGTGCTAAGCAGTTTTTAACACCCTTTCTAGAATGAGTTTTTGTTGAGAAATTAAAAATTGCTCAAATTCAAAATCTGCCCTAATGCTGGTATGGTTAGAGACAAGTGTCCTTCCTCCCTGCCACGTCAGTCACACGCGTTCCAGAGCGGAGCTCAGCAGCAGACCTGCCGGGCAGGGCGCTGGTAACCTGGCAGCTGCAGCACCGCGGGCTGAACCCTCCCGGGATCCGGAGGGAACTGAATCAGCCCCCGCCCGTCCATTGCCTTCATAACAAAGCCATTGTATAAAGATGAAGGGTATCACTGCCCCTTCTCCTAGTGGAGCTTTTTAGAAAGAAAAGAGCGAGCCCTACCACTTAGTTATAAAAAAGAGCATCAGGACGTACCCTCAGGAGTCATCCAGCAGTCGGGCTGTGGAAGGAGACGGGCATCTTCAGGGGCAAAAATCGCCCTTACTTAGCTTATGGGTAGGGTAACTCACTGCCTGCAAATGCCTGTCTCTCTCCCAGGTGATAAGCCCAGGTGACCAGCTTAAACTATTTTCTAACTTGTAGAGAGTTAGTGTTAGGTCTCAGTTTGCTCACCCAGCTGTGAGCAAGTGACTTGGGATATAGGCTTAGCCTGATAGATAGATGCTGTACCTCAGGAAAGGGGGCCGTGTTTCCTCACCTACCCAGGAGAGCAGACAGGAATGATTCATCCTTTCAGTATTTTTTCTGTTGGCAAATATATGAAGTATATCCAACATATTTAGGATGCATATATATAAATTATAAAATTATTTATGACTATCGTCATTGTATTTGTGAAGGGGGAGGTTTGTATTGGTAGCAGTGTGTAAAGACTAGAATTCTAATCGGACTTTCTTTTTCTCAATGCCATTAGCATTTTTTTTTTAAGATTAGCCCTCTTTTTTTAAGATACAGAGGTATGAGTATTCCCATGTTATAGGAAGTGAGGCTTGGGTATTTAGCAAACTAGGCCTAGAACCTGGGTGTGCTGAGTTTCCACGACGTGTCCTGTGAGCCCACCTGGCAAAGGGAAGGATAAGACAAAATGGGAGAAAGCTGAAAATTGAAAGCTGCTTCTTTGGCAATGAAAAGGGACTGCAAAGCAGGCACCTTTTCCCAAAAAGGAGAGAGGTAGTGTGACTCGTATACCTTGCTGCTTAGTTATTCAGTGCTTCCAGGTTGTTCTTGGAAATGATCGCCGTCTAGGTACCTTTAGAGCTGCCTGGTGGGTGCTGGTGGTGGAGCAGCCATCTGCCACTCCCGAATCCCAGCTGTCCTCGAGCTGGCGTGTAACCTCCTTCGCGCTTCTTTGGGGGCTCAGCCAGGAGGGAGAGCTGAGCAGAAAAGAGATGAAAGGAAGAAACGGAGAATCCCCAGAGGAATTTCAGCCTGAACATTCGAACATTTTTTTCCTGAGGTCAGTATAGTGTCCTTAAAAAAAAAGAAGAAAAAAAAAGAAAAGAACCTGTTTGCTTAGAAAAAGAACAGATTAGAGTTATGAAAAGCATCATTGCTGCCCCTCCTCACCAGCTGTAGAAGAGATAAAACCATCTACTGAATGTGGTTTTAGGTAGTTTGCCCCTTTTTTGGTATAATTAGAAGAGTTTCCTGATACACAGCTGGAAGGTAAGGCTTTGACGCATGGGGGCAATAAGGCTTCTAATGTTGCATGAAGACAAACAAAAATAATGGGGGAAAACCCCACCACCAGGTTGTGGGCACAGAGACCCAGGTGGAGGCAGTTTTTACTGTAGCCAAAGAAAAAATGACAGGAAGACTAATGATTGTAAGTGTAGCAGCTGCTGACCGCACGCAAAGTTGCAGGAGCAGTTCCAGGGTGGAAGCTTTTAACGCTATTTGGGGATTCTTTCATTTTTCCTGGTAATTTTTCCCTATCTTTTACACATTATTTATTTCAGAGTGCACCACTGAATCTTTTACAGAGAACGTTTTCTCCCAACTGTTATTTGATTTAAATGAGAATTAGGGAAAAAGAAATCAGGACAACACAATCTTACCCTTGATTATCAGTCAATCACATTTCAGTCCTTGTCATATCACAAGCTGCTAATTTTACGGTTCTTAATACCGAAACAGAAGAATATTTTTTGCTGACAGAAAAACAACAGAAGAAAGCTATTTTTCCATAATAGAAGACAAGCAAAAAAAAAAACCCCAAATCTTTCAGCTCTTGCTTACAGATCATGAACAGAAAATGTCTCTTTTTCTATTTCTTTTTTCCTTAAGAGACTACTGTGCTATATTTATAGGTGGATGACTGTGGACTAGTATTTATAGGTGGCCAGCTACGCTGCAGTCGTTAGCGCTGTAGGAATTAGGTATTGCAACAACAACGGGCAGCTGTTCTTTGTTGCACTACAGTGGCATACCCTGGAGGAGCAGATCGGAGTATGTGAAGAGGTGGCGGGGTGGGAAGCAAGAGGTGTAAAGACAGGCGCAAGCTGTCTGGCTGTATGCTTGGCTTGTTCTGGCCCTTGCTCTGCGGAAGGGTATTTTGATACATGTACACCACACAAAGTTACTCTGCAACATGTTTAATTTTCTCTGTTGAAGTTTGGGTTGGAAGATATCAACAGCAATACAGGTGGACTGATTGATGGCCGCAGGAATCCTGTTCGGTTGCACGGACTGAAAGAAAACAATGGCAATGAGAGCACAAGAAGCTCTTAAATTAAGATATCCTTGTGGTCAGCAGTGCGTCTTTCTCTGTTTGCATACTTAAGGATAAGTGGCCCTAGTCTGAATTACGTATTTGGTCTATATATAATAGTATCAAGCTATAGTCATTTGGAACCAGTAATAACTCCAAACATGCAAGTTATCACTTTAGCTCCTAGAGCAGACCTTAGACCACTGTCCTTGGCCACCCTGGTGACTGTGCTGGACTGTGAGAAGTAACTAAGGCTTACACAGAAGAGCCAGGGGTTGGGGATTACATCGCAAAAGCGGTGAAGGAAGGGGTGTTGGATTGGTTTGGTTGCACTGCTGACTTGTGTGTTGTTTTGTCTTTTTGTTTCCATCAGGATGTACCCACTAAATTGGTGGCCAAAGCTGTTCCTTTGCCTATGACAGTCCGCGGGCACTGGTTCTTGAGCCCCAGAACAGAATACACGGTAGCAGTGCAGACAGCGTCAAAGCAAGTCGATGGCGATTACGTTGTTTCTGAGTGGAGTGAGATCATCGAGTTTTGCACAGCAGGTAATACTGCTGAGGAAACGTGCACCACAGGGCGTGTGCAGTTAGCGCGGGCTTTGCTGCCTGGGTGGGTTAGCCACCTACCGGTGCCAGCTACGCTGGTAGGGTTATAGTAGTCATGCCTGGAAACGGGAATTCTGACTTCAGGCTTTGTATGTGCTGAGGTTTGGCGCCTTACTGAGAAGCAGCTGGAGTGCCCCTTGGTTCCGCAATGGCTTAGCAGCCCCAGTGTGCTGTGCCTGCCACCACTGCTTGTCCCAGGCTAGGAAAGGAGACTGGTGAACCAAAGTGGAGCGGGGCCGCTTGCGTGCCTGTTGCTGGCTGCAAGCACTTGTGGAGAAAAGAGAGAGTGGCAGCTCCCTAACAGACAGCTTGCTTAAGGCGTTCTGCTGCTCTCGCTTCTCTGCATGCTGCAAAGCCTGAGCACCACCAGCACCCCAACTCGAGGATCAGTTTAGCCTGTCAGTGATTGGTAAGTCTCTTCCTCTGGATGCTCATCACCTAGAGCCAACGTGCTTGCCTGAATGAAAGCTGAGTGCTGAAGGGAGCTCCCTGTGACTCCCATGTTGGTTGAGATGCTGTTTAGGCTGGGTCCTAAGCAAGCTTTTTTAATTAGGTGAATTGTTACTGGCTCACAACCGGGTACCTTGTAGCAAACAGTTTATCAAATGGCATAAGCCAGAAAGGGCAGCTCTCCACTCCTCCGCAGTTCCAAGTGCGAGGAAACCAGCTCTGACCTAGGAACTCCCGAGCTGAACGTTGCTGTGGGCTTGCAGAGTATTTGTGGGGAAAGGAGTGGGGAGCATCACAGGTGCGTGCTCCTGCCATTGCCTGTTGCCACTGCTGGGCCGATGCTGGGCTGCACGATGTGAGGGGTGTTACCCAGGCTCCGTTCCCAGTTCTAAGTCTGGAGCTTTTGGAAGGTGTTGTGGTTTTTCCTGTCCCCCATACTAGCAGATTGTCTTTTCTTTCTAGATTATTCAAAAGTTCACCTAACACAGCTATTGGAAAAAGCAGAAGTGATTGCAGGCCGTATGCTTAAACTGTCTGTTTTTTATCGGAATCAGCACAAAGAATACTTTGATTATATCAGGTAAGAAAGTAAATGTATGCAAAATTGTTTGGCAAATTAAGGGAGTAATGAAAATAAGTAAATGGAGGCAGCTGTGCTAAAGCTAGAGCAGAATGTCTGTGTGCCTTATTGCCAGTTCAGAAGAAGGGAAAAAATAAAATATAACTAATTTCTTCCACCTTGCTTAACTCAACACTTCCATTAGGCAAGAAAAGTTTGTTTTTCAAGCAGAAACTGAAGTACTCACAGGGAACTGGTTAAAGGATCTACATGTGTCATAGGTGTTTGCCTGCATATGAGAGTCCCACGTAAAATACTTGCTCTCCACATAAACCCACCCCATTTCTATGCCCAATGTACTCGTCCCAGCTGGGGCTCTCCAATCTGGACATTAATTTACAGATCGTGTGGGGAGGGAGAGGGGGGGATGTTTAGACAATTTTACAACACTGTGCTTCAGCCGGAATAAATACACGGGGTAGCTGGAGGTAGGTTCCTTATTCCTGTTGGAGACCCAGTGTGCCTTCGCACACGCAACCGGAAGCGTCATTACAGTAGAAGACGTTTCAGTAGGAGTCGTCAAAGCAGGAGCAGCCACCGTGCCGAGGTAACCCGCCACCGCTAGAAGAACACGGGTGAGAGGTAAGCAGTGTGCCGAGCTCTGTTTCAGCACCGTGTCAGAAGGGTGGCAGCACTGGCTGTGCTTCTTTAACAGGCATTGAGCGATGGGGCTGCTGCTGTGCCACGTAATTCCAGTTTTATGTGGGTGTCACACTAGTCCCTGTCTAGAACTGAAAGTTTTTTAAAAGTAATGTAGAAAAAAAAAAAAAAAAACTCGGGGGAATCACACTACGCAACCGGAAGCGTCATTACAGTAGAAGACGTTTCAGTAGGAGTCGTCAAAGCAGGAGCAGCCACCGTGCCGAGGTAACCCGCCACCGCTAGAAGAACACGGGTGAGAGGTAAGCAGTGTGCCGAGCTCTGTTTCAGCACCGTGTCAGAAGGGTGGCAGCACTGGCTGTGCTTCTTTAACAGGCGTTGAGCGATGGGGCTGCTGCTGTGCCACGTAATTCCAGTTTTATGTGGGTGTCACACTAGTCCCTGTCTAGAACTGAAAGGTTTTTAAAAGTAATGAAAAAAAAAAAAAAAAAAAACTCGGGGGAATCCAACTCCAAAGAGCAGACTCCACCACCCATGGAAACATCCCCACTTTGCAGTCATGAGTATCTGCTGCGTTCCAGGAGTGTCTCCTATATTCCAGAGCATGGAGTTTGCTCTTTACTGTCTGTGTTTTGGAAGAATTATTTTATTGCATGTAGTGACAAAGCTGCAAAACTCAATGGAGGCAGAGAATGAATTGCAGTTGTTGAGGCTCTTTGAGGACCTCATACATCTCTGCCTTCCTGGACTAGGTACCACAGAAGGGAAAGGATGGTGGTGGTTCTGGTTCTCGTACAGCTTTGTTTTCAGCTCTGTAATCGTAGTGCACCTGCCTTTTTGTTCATAGAGCTTTGAAAATTGCACTTACAGCTGTGGGTTTGGCCTTGTTCTGCCAAATGTGACTCTGATGGCACTGTATCTGTTCCCCTCCCTCCTGTTACGTTCTTTCTCAGTTCGGCACAGCTAAGGACTAGTTTGTTTGACCTTCTGTTAGTGAGTTAAAGAGATAGATAGATAGATAAAAAGCTGTGGTTTATGGTCAGTATGAAGCCAAGATACCTGTAACTGTCTGATGGTCACCTTTTCTGATCAGAATTGTACCGCTAGGGTCACAGGGATAGTCCTTCCACAACGCACCCTGCGGAGTGTTATGTTAAAAGCCCCAACCACACGCTTCCTTTCAGGAAAAATTCCTTGTTGAACCGTGCCTGCCGCTGGCCTTGGTGGTGCGATAACTGATAAACAAGCTTGGAAAAGCTTACCGGGCAGCCCCAGCGGCACTGGCAAACGAGTGACAGTCTCGGTGCTAAAGCCACAAGCCCTCGCTGTGGGGTTTGAAGTGGGAGCTTGGCAGCCGTGTTCACGTCGCTCTGCCGCTCACCTCGGCTGGGAGGGCCATAAAGCACCTCAGCTCCCTGGGAAGAGTGACCTATAATTAGCCTAATTGGCCACTGGATGTCAGTATCTTGCCACAGAAATGGAACTACAAGAAGCCTGGCTTTTCAGGCTGCAGAGGCAGTGGTTATTCAAGCTGAGGTTTTGGGGTGTTTTTTTTTTCTCCCTAGTAATCGCTTCAGTCATAAAATACCAGTTGTTGTACCCCTCCACCCCAATCAATGTCTTGTGACATAGGGCTTGAGACAATAACTGTGTAGTATTTGGCTGGCCCAGAAAACAGTTGAAATTTATCTTAGAGTGAGTTCAATTAAGACATGCTTCTGAGGAGATTAGAAATAATGAAAAAAGCACAGTTGGAGACATTACTGAGTTGATTTAGAGCTGGTTTGTATATACACACTGAGTTTGTTTGCTTTGACTGCTACCTCCTGCTCTAACCAAGTAAAACCTTCTCCCACACAGCAGCGCCATTTTACCTGGAGCTGTTGCAAGGTAAAAGCAGGGGGAGAACAGTCTCTCTTGGCTAGTTTCCCCTCTCCTCAAAAAGAAAAAAGGGGGGGGGGGGGGGGGGAGAGCGAATTTTTTTGAGTAAAAGTAAAGCAAGAAGTGGGCTGTAAGACTCTCCAGCCCCACAGCCTCATGCGTTTTTAATCTGCCAAAGTGTATAAAGGCATTTTATAAGGGCGCTTAGTAAACCTGGTGTTTTGCAGGACTTACAAAAGGGGATGTTTCCCTTTCTGGTATCGCATGGCTGAAGGTGCAGAGCGAACCAAATCTGTCACTGCGGCACTTCCAGGGAGGTGTGGGGCACAAATTCTGGGGAACATTGTGCTGCATGTGAAATCTCAGGTGCTGAGGAGGACTAAATGGGGTGTTTGGGACTGCTTTCCTAAATTTAGCAGCCTAAAGCTGCTGAGTGCAATTTGGGATTTAGGGTTTTAAAAATTCACTTGTTACACTGAACATTTCTTTTCACTGGAACCAAATTGAGCTCAGCTTGCAAAGAAAAAAAAAAGAGTTAGTCTGGTACATTTTTTCCCCTGAGGACTAGTGACTGCAGAAGCTGGATATCAACCAAAGTGGCAACTAACCAAATTGCCTAATACTCTGTGCCCAGCTCTGCTCTGATTGAAGTCAGCAGTAGACAAATTAGACCTGAAATTATTATTTGGGGGAAAAAAAAACTATGGCAGGCAGTACATGCCTTCTGATAAGCTCTGTGAAAAACGTTGCTCAGAAATAACTTTGGCTGGAAGTTTTCTACATGAAATATATACTGCCTGGGCTAAAAATACGCATTAGCAAACATTATATTCAGCATATTGAGACTGACTTGCAATTTTCAACATGTGATTGAACTAAAATGTGTTTATTGTTAGAATTGTAGTGGAAGGCTGAACAAATCCGCTAATTAAAGATATTGGTGGTTTGGGGGCTTTTTTGTTGGTGCTATTCTTTGCCTGTGTATGATAAGTACCCACACAGCTGACAGGCCAGAAAAGCAGATTTTCCCCTTGAGCAGGAGTTATTCGAGCTCTTTCTGAGTGAGTCTGGCGTCACTTGGTTTTCTTGATCCTGAGATCGTGACACTCACCGCAGCTTTGAGTTTAACGGTTTTCCTTTGTGTCCCTTCAGTACTGTTACCAAACAGCGTGACGTCCTAACTTTCCGCTTTTTCTTTAACATGTGTGTTGCAAAATAAACAATGCCAGTCATTCATTCGTAGAGAGCACCATGGGAATGCTATGCAGCCCTCTGTTAAGGATAACAGTGGCAGCCATGGCTCTCCGATCAGTGGGAAGCTGGAAGGCATCTTCTTTAGCTGCAACACTGAGTTCAACACTGGGAAGCCACCACAAGATTCGCCTTACGGAAGATACAGGTTTGAGGTTGCAGCTGAAAAACTCTTCAACCCCAATACTAACTTGTACTTTGGAGACTTCTACTGCATGTACACAGCCTACCACTACGTCATTCTTGTTGTCGCCCCTGTTGGATCACCAGGAGATGAGTTCTGTAAGCAACGCCTTCCTCAGCTAAATATAAAAGATAATAAATTTCTGACCTGTGATGAAGAAGACGGTGTCATGGTTTACCATCATGCCCAGGATGTTATTTTGGAAGTCATTTACACTGATCCTGTGGATCTCTCCCTCGGCACAGTTGCGGAAATTACCGGTCACCAACTAATGAGCTTGTCTACTGCAAATGCAAAGAAAGATCCCAGCTGCAAGACCTGCAATATCAGCGTTGGACGTTAAAACTTCCCTCGTTACTTAGGAGCCTTCAAACCTCTGTTGCCCATTTCCATAGTCAGACATTTTTGTCAGAAGCATGCACATGCCGCTGTCACCAAAAGCAAACACGAGTCTTCAAAATCTC